TTTTGGGTGTGCTTCTTTTCTAAAATTGCCCTCTCCTATTAAATTCTCTTTTCTACCTACCTACTTTTATTGTGGTTGTGGCTTTATTTTGTGCCTCGGGACAGGTCTCTAATTTTAGTGATCTGGATCCAAAGAACTGAAGATTTTACACAACGCTCCCATCCTGTGACAGGTGTTCTGTAACTTTCAATTAGGTAAAACGGGTTGAAAATGTTGTTCACGTCTCTGTACTTACTAACTTTGCCTACTTGTCCTATCGGTTATTGACAGAGCATTGACGCCTTGACCATAATTGTGGATACAGCTGTTAGTTTCTGTTGTTCTCTGACAAATCCCTCCTTTCTGGCACTCTGTCCTACAAATTCCAGCCACTTTGGCCTTCCCTGAATCAATATCTACCTCATCGTTTTGGCAGGACAGCCAGTTCTGTTTAGGTTTACCCTGCCTGATCTGCTGCTAGAAAGTGCCTCCAGACACAGAGCTGATGCAATCACCTTGCTTCACTTCTCTCTGTGACTTCAGTCCTGTACTGTCTGTCATCCAGCACTGGAAATAAGTTTCATGCCTCTTGCCCTGTTTTCTAGCTTTCTAAGGTAAGAGTTTAAACCCGGTCTCTATTAATCTAGCTTGTCTGGAAGGAAATGTCACTATATTAATTTATTTTAATCTAAGAATGACGTCTTCTTTATGCCCATGACAAAAAAAAAAAAAGATGGATGAATGATGGATGGATGAGGGATGAGCTAATGAAGGACTGCTGAGATGTCATCCAGAGTAGGTATTTAGAGCAATATATAAGCACTAAAGATGTAATAGCTTGATCCCTTTCATGGGCATATATATTCAGGCAAGTACATTTCATTAACAATGTTAGACAGGGTGGCAAGACTGGATGCCTGAAGTCCTTCAACATGTGAGTCAATGAGCCATTCAGGACTTCCTTGATGAAGGAATGTGAGTCTGCATTGTCGTCAACCTCTTGTTGACATCTTCACTGAATCAAGAAAGCACCATCACCTCAACTTAGAGCTGGTGCTGCTTACTTGGGAGATAATGCAGGAAATGCAGGTGGGCTGAATGCCCTTCTAAGAAATGTAGGAATATATTCTTTTGATGGCGCAGAGGAGGGCAATTACTTAATTAGCATCATTACTGGGTGCCATACCTTGATTTCCTACCCAGGGCTGCATCAGGGCTGGGAAATCGATGCTGCTTTCAAAACTGTATTATTGCCGCCTACTACTCTGCTCTACTTATTCTTTTGCATGTATCCATTAACACAACAACAAAACATACACTTGCTATTTCAGAGGCTTTAGTTACAAACAGATAAATACAGTTTGAAGGGAGCATGCTTTTTCCCCCTTCTGGGGCTCAGAAGAATTAGGGCCTGAGATCTGAATAAAATGACCAAATTCAAGGGTATCTCTTTTAAGGAAAGGTGAGCTAGACTCGACCACACACACAGAAGACAAGGTAAAAGCTCTGGACCCTGATGAGTCACCATATGTAAGTAGAGCTCTGCCAGGACCAGCAAGTGGCTAGACTCCTACATAGTCAAAAGAGATTCGGTTCGAGTCTGACCTGGTGGCTTCAAACTCATGCTGGGCACATGTGCATGCATGCCCAAAATCCTGAGAGGAGAATGGAGGAGAAGGGACTGCAGCATGACCATCCCCCCAGGGAGTGATTTCTTTTTCTGTCTCTCTGTCTCTCTCAGTCTCTTTGGTGAAGGTATGTGCTCTATAGTAAAAATTTCTCTCACCAAGAAAAAAGAAAGAAAGAAAGAAAGAAAGAAAGAAAGAAAGAAAGAAAGAAAGAAAGAAAGAAAGAAAGAAAGAAAGAAAATGGGAATCTGCCTACTTGGCTTACTATGGACACACTGCCATTTCCAACAGGGAAGTTGTGGGAGTGGCTGCCATGTGCGTTGTCACACTTTGCATGAGTGCTCTATTGCCACTGTTCCTCTGCGAGCATTGGAAAGGTGTGAAGGTGTTGCTCATTTGTTTATGCTGGATTTTACTTAGGTCGCTCTCAAGGGAGAAGAAGTATCTTTCTCCTAGTTCCTGGCATGGCTAATATATAAAATTCTACTCTCTTTCATATCTATGCCCTTTTAAAAATGACATTAATAGTTATGCTACTCATAATTGGTTTACTATTCCTTACAAGAATTTATGGAAGTTACTGCTATTCCCACGAAAAAAAAAAGAAAAAAAAAAGATCAAGCCAGTGGGTGGCATGGAGGTTAAGGTGGACCCAGATGGTCGTCTGCATGGTTTGCATCTCAGACCTGGTAGCTTGAAAATCATGCTGGGCACATGTGCATGTGTGCCCAAAATCCAGAGAGGATAACTGAAGTGAAAGTACTGACACTTAACCGTTTCCCCCTGAGGGTGATTTTTCACTTTTCCTCTCTCCCTCTCTGTCTCTCTCAGGTGAGTGCATGGGCCCTATGGCAAAAACTAAAAACAAAACAAAAAACCAAGATCAGTGCTGGCTGGCCCCACAGACTAGCGGTTAAAGGAAGCCAGATCCCACAAGCCAGCCATGGTGTGAATCCCAGCCCTGGGGGCTTGTAAAACACACCAGGCACGCATATGTGCATGCCCCAAATCCTGACTGGATGGGGACATGGAGGAGAAAAGACTGAGATGTGATCATGCCCCCCCAGCGGATGCCTTCTCCCCTGCTCCCACTGGTGAGTGCACAGAGCTTCCAACAATGAAAAACAAATTCATTCCATTTAAGGCATGATTCAATGTGCTTACCATAATCAGTAACATAAAACTCATACATAGTTTGATTTGTGCCCTTAGGTATTTCTGGTAAGTCTAACTTGCTTTCATGGCGACGTAAAAAGGCTTCAAGCTTTTCTCTGCTTTCCAATTCCAGAAGGGCTCCTAAGCTCCACATTAAGCCAAACACAAATAATTTATGAAGATGTTCAACGCACGAAACACCGCCTTCTTCTTTGGAGGGAATTAAACCTTCCAGAAGATTGAGAGACTGAAAAAATTTTAAATAAAATAAATTATTTAATTTCACGTTTTGGGTTTTTAAAAAAATTAACGTAAAACAATTGTCCGTACTCGTGGGGGTATAAAATGATTTTTCAGTACAAGAATACAATGTGTAATGATTAAAATGATCATCTCAACCATTTGTCATTACTTTATGTTAGGAACATTCAAAATCATCTTTTTTACATACTCTGAGATCTCCAGTTAGCTTTATAAAATAAAAACTTAATAAAAAATTAAAAGGAGGAAAAAAAGAGAGAAGAAAAATAGTATGTATCACAACATATTGCTTAATCACCGTTCTATAGCCACTGGCATTTGAAAGAAAGGCCATGTAGGGACCAGCAGTTAGCATAATGGCTATGTTGCTGGACTACCATGTAGTCGACCGCAGTTCAAGTCCCGGACCTAGTGGCTTCAACTCATGCCAGGCGCGTGTGCGTGTGTGCCCAAGATTCCAAGAGGAGAATGGAGGAGAAGGGATTGTGGCATGGTCATCCCCTCTGGGGGGTGATTTTTTTGCTTTCTGTCTCTCTGTCTCTCTGTTTCTCTCTGTCTGTCTGGTGAGTGCATGCACCCTATAGCAAAAAATAAACAAACAAACAAACAAAAAAAAACTCTCCAAAAAAAAGAAAAAAAAAAGAAAGAAAGAAAGGCCATGTTTCTGTAGACAGGCTGCATGGTCTAACAGAAAGATGCCGAGCTGAGAATACGGGCATGTGTTTTCTGCCCTCAACGCACGCGTGCCACTGACCTCTGTTCCATAATGTGAAAAGTAAAAGGCCTAGACCAGATGTTTTTAAAGATACCTTCTCATTCTAACATTTGATTATCCAAACTTTTCAGGTTAAAAACCTTATTTCTCTTTAACATTTTTCAGAACGTAGCATATGTGGCCCCAAGGGCCAACCACCTGTTTGATAAATAAAGCTTTATTGGAACACAGCCAGACTCATTCATTCATGCATCATCACTAGCTGCCTTCATTGAGAAGCACAGCTGAGTGGTTGAGACAGAGTTGTACAAAGCCTAACACATTTATTATCTGCCCCTTTAAGAAGAAGCCAACTCCCATACAGCATCAGAAAGAAATGTATACTATAGTAAGACATTCTCAGTCTTTCGAAACAAAATTATTATACATAAAATTTTCTCTTAAAAGTAATTTCTAACTGGTTCATTGCTTTAGACCTTATGTACTGTCTCTAACCCACCACCCATCACTGACATCCTTTACATTGAAAAATTAAAAGCGCTAGAACGGATGATGATAGTTCACCTATTGACCAGAATGAGAAGAGTCTCTAAAAAATTTATGATCAGGGCCAGCCTGTAGTATGGTGATTAAAGTGCCTGGACCCCATGTGCCTGACAGCATGGTTCAAGTCCTGGACCCAGCAGCTTGGAAAACATGCCAGGCACTTATGCGTGTGTGCCCAAAATCCAAAAAGGAGAATGGAAGGGAAAGGACTATAGTATGACCATTCCCCCTGGGGAATGTTTTCTCACTTTTTCTCTTCCTATATCCCTCCCTCTCCCTTTGTCTCTGTCTCTCTCTGGAAGGCACACCCACCCTATAGGAAATTTAAAAACAAAAACAAAAAACAAACCTATGATTAATTATCTTTTTTTCCAAAGACTAATCAGGAAAACTTAGTATAAGGGAAAAAATGCTCCAAACTACTTCTCAGCTAATTTTTCTTTAAAGGTTTTCTCTAATATATACTAAATTTACAAAACCAAAACTGACACTCAAGTTTCCCTGATTGCCACAAGCTCCTTTTCTTTTCTTTTCTATAAAACTACACACTTTATTTATTTTGTCATCTCTTTATTATTGAACACACTTTCTAGGACAGGTTAGTAAACTTGATGAGAAAGTTCATTCCTCTTCTCAGACAACACCCCTCTGGGAAGGGAAAATAATAAAGAGGTGATAATAAGATCATTAACAAGATCATTTGTAGGAATCGAACTTCTCAGAGCCTTCACAGCCACTTCACAGGAAGACTTTTACAAGCTGTATGACTGTTTTTAGATGCCCAGGAACTGCAAGTGAGTAGGGGGAAACAATTAAAATCTAAGTAGCAAATGTACCAAAAAAAATCTTACTTGCACAATATAGTTGCACTCTAAGAGCTGCATTTTGGGAACGAGGTTTAGTTTCATGTATGTATATGTATCTTCAAATGCTTTCTCATACAGACTGAGGAATACGGTAGCTTCCTGTGCAGTGCGCTTCTTCAGCCAGGCCTGCATCAAAGACACAGCGTCTCAGATTACTGGTGAAGCGAGACACAGAAAGACACTGAGCATACTTCTGTGCTCTCCTCAGCTCCCACCTGTAATATTGGCTTCCAACTGAGAGCAGAGCTGCTGATGTAGACCATGCCCATCCTAGAAACCGTGGCAGGAGAGGCATTCTCGATGTTGTGAACTTCAAACAAGAGCTTGCAGTTAGGGGCCATGGGGATGCGATCCCCATTAGCTAACGTGAGCGTTTTATTGTCGTCCAACACGGAGTTTAAATTCTCAATCCAAATGGCATCCACGGGGCCATCTAAAATGAGGAAAATGTTTTCACCTGCAAATAATTAAAACAGAAAATCACTCTACAGGGCCAGATGGTGGTGCGGCAGTAAAACGTGGCACTCTGTGAGGCTGCCCCACGAGGGGAAGTTCCGGGTTTGCATCTTGAGACATCAGAGGACACGAGGCACAGCATGCCTGGGATCCTGGATGGCTAAGGGTAGGTGTGGATGGCAGTGTCGACATCTTATTGGGGGCGCTGTCTCTGTCTCTGTCTCTCTCTTTCCCATGGGAGAAAGAAATAAAAACTTTAAAAACAAGAAATCACTTTGGATTGAAAATAATTGAAATAGGAATGTGAAAAAAAATTGTGTTATCAATAAAATGACAGGAAGAAGGCACACCCACCCTATAGGAAATTTAAAAACAAAAACAAAAAACAAACCTATGATTAATTATCTTTTTTTCCAAAGACTAATCAGGAAAACTTAGTATAAGGGAAAAAATGCTCCAAACTACTTCTCAGCTAATTTTTCTTTAAAGGTTTTCTCTAATATATACTAAATTTACAAAACCAAAACTGACACTCAAGTTTCCCTGATTGCCACAAGCTCCTTTTCTTTTCTTTTCTATAAAACTACACACTTTATTTATTTTGTCATCTCTTTATTATTGAACACACTTTCTAGGACAGGTTAGTAAACTTGATGAGAAAGTTCATTCCTCTTCTCAGACAACACCCCTCTGGGAAGGGAAAATAATAAAGAGGTGATAATAAGATCATTAACAAGATCATTTGTAGGAATCGAACTTCTCAGAGCCTTCACAGCCACTTCACAGGAAGACTTTTACAAGCTGTATGACTGTTTTTAGATGCCCAGGAACTGCAAGTGAGTAGGGGGAAACAATTAAAATCTAAGTAGCAAATGTACCAAAAAAAATCTTACTTGCACAATATAGTTGCACTCTAAGAGCTGCATTTTGGGAACGAGGTTTAGTTTCATGTATGTATATGTATCTTCAAATGCTTTCTCATACAGACTGAGGAATACGGTAGCTTCCTGTGCAGTGCGCTTCTTCAGCCAGGCCTGCATCAAAGACACAGCGTCTCAGATTACTGGTGAAGCGAGACACAGAAAGACACTGAGCATACTTCTGTGCTCTCCTCAGCTCCCACCTGTAATATTGGCTTCCAACTGAGAGCAGAGCTGCTGATGTAGACCATGCCCATCCTAGAAACCGTGGCAGGAGAGGCATTCTCGATGTTGTGAACTTCAAACAAGAGCTTGCAGTTAGGGGCCATGGGGATGCGATCCCCATTAGCTAACGTGAGCGTTTTATTGTCGTCCAACACGGAGTTTAAATTCTCAATCCAAATGGCATCCACGGGGCCATCTAAAATGAGGAAAATGTTTTCACCTGCAAATAATTAAAACAGAAAATCACTCTACAGGGCCAGATGGTGGTGCGGCAGTAAAACGTGGCACTCTGTGAGGCTGCCCCACGAGGGGAAGTTCCGGGTTTGCATCTTGAGACATCAGAGGACACGAGGCACAGCATGCCTGGGATCCTGGATGGCTAAGGGTAGGTGTGGATGGCAGTGTCGACATCTTATTGGGGGCGCTGTCTCTGTCTCTGTCTCTCTCTTTCCCATGGGAGAAAGAAATAAAAACTTTAAAAACAAGAAATCACTTTGGATTGAAAATAATTGAAATAGGAATGTGAAAAAAAATTGTGTTATCAATAAAATGACAGGAAAAAGAAATCACTGTGTACCTTTCTTAGCTTTTAACGTTTTTCTCCACAGAGTGGAAAAAATCCCATCTGTCCAGTCATTGGTAGCAGTGTCCAGTCTGCCAAACATCTGCGGGGCAGTAATAGCTTTTGGATTCATTCGCATTTCTCTGTGAGGCCTTCCACATTCCGTTAACGCCTTCATCAGGACTGTGATAACGGTTGTCTTCCCAGAACCACTGGGCCCGAGGGTCATCAAGCCATGACGCACCAGAGACGTCTCATATAACTACACAATCAAACGATAGATTGGAAAATATTTTGTGAGTCTCTTGCTGGCATTCATGGCAGTTAGTTGAAACTTAAAGGGCTTTCTTTACATAAGCTCTTCATCAAAGCTGTTTAAAAGATGCAATTTTTTCTTTTTTTTTTTACTAGATGTGGATAGCAAATTAGCACCACCTCAAAAAATGACATAAGTGATGACAATGTAGAAGTTGAATTACATTTTGGAAATCATTAATTTAGGATCTAGTTTTTGCTTTGCCAACTAACAATACTACTACTCCTTGTGACCCTGGTTTGCTGTGTACCAAGTCCCCCCCACCACACGCCAACTTTCCCTGCATCCCATGTGATGATATCGCCCCTTAGTGGTGGAGAGTAGCAATGCAGAACATCTAGGCCTGATTCCCCAGAAGTACGCCCATCTTGAATGAGGATTCATGTAAGTGGTTTGTTCAGAAAGTGCTCCCAGGAGAAACAGATAAGGACCTGGCGGGTCCTTTTCCAAGCAGAGGATGGTTTGGGTGTGGGTGGGAAATAACTCCCAGGCACTGCTTGCTTTTGGGACTTATCCACAGAGTGGCCCCAGTCCTTCTTTTGCTATTTGAAGCAAATCACACAGAGGCTGGGAGGAGGCACACAGACAAAGGAAAAGGCATGTGAGGAGACACACAGGGCACGGCAGAGTCTGTTGCCATATCCTGTCTATGGCATTTTTTTTTTTTTTTTTTTTG